TTGGAGTCTGCAGAATTCATCATTATCGTTTCTAAGGGAAATTTGTGCCAAACGGAGACCTCAGAATTAATTTAACACATGAAGAAGTTAAATTTGCTGTGTGAAAATTTCATGTAAATTTAGTTATGATTACCTGTTTTTGCTTATCTTTTTGCTTATCTCGCCCTAGAAGGATCTGCCGGTAGGACAAAATCACCATCATTTGCTCCTTATGCAACGTCGTCACACGGCAAATTATGCGTCGATCAGACGTTCTTCAAGGTGGCTGAATGTGCACAGAATCGACTGCCAAACGTGCGGCCAGTTTTGAGACATCACTTTTCTGCACATGTCCCACTGCGGCTCGGCATCTTGCGACTTTTACGTCTTTATTTACATGTGGTATGGCTTGGCCTTACACGCTGATCTGTGTACGCACCACGCTTTGCCTGCTATGCTCAGCATCTTGCGACTCTTATAAACTTTTCATGATCTGCAGGCTCGAAAATGATAATGAGGAATGCATGACATTCCATACAGATACAGTAGCATTCCTTATGGTAAAATTCCTAGTCTGACTCAAAGGAATATTTTTGCCTAAGAATTGCTTTTTAGTGATGCAAAAATCAGGTAATTAACTAAACAAAATCGGGCTCTTTAAAATATCAAGCGCATATGCCATTACAACACCTCTAACGCCATCGCCTGCCATCCCATTGGACCTTTATGAGTGCTCGAAGAAGTATGAGCACACTAGAAAAAGGTGAGACAATCTTTAATGAGGTTGGAAACACCTACGTCTCCCATTTCCCAGACATCCACTTTGACCACCAAACAGGGTCGTTCAACGCATCCACAAAGCCATCACTCTCTATCAGCAATCACGATTCGACCACAAGCTAGTCCCTCAGCGAGTGCAAAATTTGTGAAATTGTCCTTTCCTTGCTTTGTCACAGGGCAGCAGACATTGAAAACAAGCCGATTTATGAAATAAATCCAGGCAAGACTAAAATTTGATAAATGGAGGCTGCAAATGATGAAGCAGTGCTGTGTGAGGTGCAAGGGGGAGCGAACCTTGTGTGCAGTGCTTTACGTTGGTCTCCAGTTGACCTGTGGGGAACACGTAGGCGTTTGTTTTCATCTGTTGTCGTTTTTCGTCCACCATGTGTGAAGTAGGGAGGTTTTTTCGGGCATGCTGACATTAATGAATATTAGTGAGTGAGTCAACGTCTTCCTGAAGTTCCTCCCTGAGGCTCTCTGTCAACTTGCGTGGTGCATGTGCCATCGCTAATAGCAGATCCAATTCCAGGCTCACTGTATAACAGGTAACCGCCGTGGGATTAACTCAGCCAGTATGTATAGCAGTTGGATCGAAATTCCAGTACACGATTGGTGGTGGTGGATCACGCAATTT